ATGACATTCATTTGCAGAAAAGGCACTGTGTTTGAATTAAAGGAAATCAGGAGGTGTTGTAGTCTGAAGGGAAGGAGTGTATTAAAAAATACTGTAGGCATGTCAGGAAATTACAGCTGACTGACAAATTAAAATAAAACCTGACCTTTTGACCCTGACACTGAGTAGATCCAGTGGTTCCATTAAGTTAATGGGTTCATAGGTCTGCTTCGAGGGAACCTATGATTAAACATTTCTATTCTGATGAGAATTTTCTTTTCCAGGATGACAACCCACAGAGCACGAGGGGTCACTGAGTTGTTTTATGAGTATGAAATCATGACCAGTCATTAGATCTCAACCCAACTATGGGAGATTTAGGACCAATGTGCCAGACAGCACTCTCCAAAACCATCATCAAAACACCAAATGAGGGAATTTCTTATGGACGAATGGTGTTCATCCCTCCAGTAGAGTCACTTCTCTTTTCCTTTGTCATGTGTCTGTATGTATATAACGTCGCAGGCAGGAGATGCTGCAGAGATTATAGCAACGAGAGTTCAAAACAGGACAATGAAGCGTAACCACTAACAACAGTGTGCAGCAAATAAAAGACAGCAGCATGAATGAAGACTAATGTGACAAGTACACTGATTGATCTAAATGTGACTCTTATAAGCTAAAGCTCCACATACTTAATAAATCAGTGAGAACAAGCCTGGACAAATCAATGCAATATAGCTGAGAGACAGTTAGAACGTCCCCAGAACCACGACGTTTCTTCTTGATGCCGTTTGATTGTCTTCGCTCCTCCTCTCAGCACCACCTGCAGCGCGAAGGAACCTTCAGTCAAACTCCTCCGACTCCAGCTTACACGCTTGCTGCTAAGCCTGAAGATATCACACCCCAACACGCTTCACATGCCACTTTGATCCCAGCAACATAAAAAGACTCCCCCAAGAGTGACAAATGAGAGCGCCGGATTCCTCCCCTCCACCCCGAAATACACACTCATGCAGCTGGTGGCGGGGATGTGCCGAGGGCTTTGTCATCATCGATGACTTTCAAACGGAGGGTCTGTTTCTCGCTTAACCAGCAGCGAAGGCCAGAGACGGACTTTTTAAACAAGAATGTCACAGCTGCAAGGTGGATTGACCGCACAAAGCTACTTGCATGAGTTGAAGTTCATGGACGATAATCGATGAGGTGCAAACAAACATTCGAGCTACACGTTTAGCAGCACACACAGTGCAGCACACTTTGCTGGACCTGTGTGCCCGTGAATGAGCGCCTGTAGATCGATAGCAGCCTGACAGTGCAACTTCATCAAATATGAGAGTAAGACTCCGGGAGGGAGGGAGGGAGTGAGGAGGAGGTGAGCCACCAAGCCAGGTCTTCCATTCAAACTTCTCCATGTGCAAATTTGTGCTCATCACTGTATGTCAGGGGTGGGCAATCCTGGTCCTCGAAGGCCACAGTCCTGCATGTTTTAGATGTTTCCTTCTTCCAACACACCTGATTCCAGTGATCAGCTC